TGGATATTACGGCAGGGTGTTGTAAAAGCTAGGGAAGGCTCCGTAGTATGAATAAATGAGACACGACCTTATTGCCATTTGTTTTGCGTGCTTCTCGTTCCTGGCGAATTTTTCTTCGACCGGAATGCGCAATCAATCCGACAGAAAAGAAAAAAAAAACTGCCGGAAAATGGAGACAATAGTCCAGTTAACGAGCATTGAGTTGTCGGAGTCGGCGTCCTTTATACATACTGTATATACCGAGGTAAAATCTCGGTACAACGAACTACCAGCAGGGGGGCGTATAAGAGAAAATTCCCTATTACGAAAATCTTGCGAGATTCTTGATGCATGCAGGACTGAAATTTCATGAGAACCCGGTTAAAAAAATAAAAGAAAAACTCACGAGTAGGTCCACAACAAATGGGTGAAGAATTATTATCATCGACACCTTCTTTGGATGAAATAAGGAAGAGAATTTCGACTTTCAAAGTACAATTCCCTCATTTCAGATCTGTCCTTCCTTTTATTTCGTAGAAGCATGCTGATTTTACTGAAATATATGCAGAATCAAACAGAAAGTATAGGTGTAAGAAAGGTAATTATCAATGAAAAATTGTACAGCGTGTTCCTTAAGGTAGAATAGTATTCTTTAACATACTACAGTAGCTCTTTCCAAAAATAGTCTTCTCTGTAACTTCTAAAATAGAGCTGAGTACATTTTGATTAGTGTTTCATACTTCCTGCGATGTTGAATTTCCGGTTCAAAAAGCTGAGCATTTCCAATTTTGAAAGTTTCAAATTATGCACTGGTCGAGTTTTTCCACATTTTGTAAAATTATTGAGAATTTTTCTGAACGCATAATCCAGGCAAAAATTCGTTATACCGAGATTATAGAAGAAAATAATTTGTATTTGCTGTATTTGTAAAACACTCTCCCACGGAAAAAAAATTGCCGGGACCGAGACAAAATACCCTCAGGAAACATCCAATGTGACGAGATTCTTTGTAACGGAATCTTACTGCAATTACGAAATTTTTGTAACTCTCACTTTGTGACATCGTTGCTTACTGCCCGACACGTTCCCCTGAAACATGGGGAAATTCACCGGTCGTTGGAATTGATGAGAATCGTAAAGGTGTAGACTGACGCCAGGAAGGTTTATCATTACCATCATCACTCTTTTGTACGATTCTTTTAATTTTTTCGGCCGATTAAAGGCATGGAAAAGAGAAATCCGAGACGGGAAGAAGGGTACAGTACTGTACTTTGGGTGTGCGTGGTTGCTAGAAGACGTGCGCGTGATTAATGGGTCGGGTGATCATTACTGCCGTCTGTTAGAGGAAACACTCGAGCTTGTCTGCCTTTTACGCCATATTTCTTTTCCCCTGCCTGATTGAGGAATCAACGCGGCTTTTAATTTTATTTTCCAGCGGTGTTTGATTATTCCTCCAAATGGAGGTCGGGTCACGTGACACCTTCTTGCCATTTTTTTTTTTCAATACAGTACAGTATATAAATTTATTGTGAGCGCATGGAACGATGTTTTGTTCGTGGGGGTTAAAAGAAATATTTCTTTTAATGCAAGCGAATATTCATAATTAAATGCTTTCCGTACCGATTTACGAAATTTTGGCGGCAAGGAGTTTCAATAAGTCATTCTTGAAAATCGTTGAGAGACGATTTTGTATCCTGAACGAGTTCCTTAAATCATCTCGCAAGATTCTGAATTCGCGGGGATGGGATCTGCAATGATTGTTTCAGGAATCGCTTCTCTATTGTTCAGTGATTTATTATTTTTTGATACCAGATAATGATGATTTATTTTGTTTGAGGAGCAATTCTCACATGACCAGGCAGTATGTCCACATGGAAAATTTTCAAAGTTTATTGCGAAGCGCTTGTGTACAGGTGAACTCTCTGAAAAACAATCTTGTCTACAATAAAATTCATTTTACTCGCTGTATAACGATTTTTGGGGTCCCATATGGGGTTCTCTCCAGATGTTATATAGGGGTTTTTCTAAAACGCATTGTTTTCTGAATGTTCCTCTGAGGTCCATTGTAAGGATAGTCCACATGCACAACTGTTTCCGAAATGTAGAATGTCAACTTCTATTGTACAGTACTGTATCGCAGATGTGCTGAACTGTGTTATGGAGTATTCGTCGGGTCATTTCCCGGGGTCTCATGAGAAAAAAAAAACGAATAAAATGACTGGCACATTAATCGACAATGGTTGATGATAAGCCACTGTGATGTAATCCCGAGCTAACTTTTATTTTCTTACGATTGCTGGAATGCCTATATCGGGATGAACACGCTGTTCTGTGTTATATGCACCTTTTTCGGACTCGCTCAACTGCAGCCACATTCTGTGGCGTGGTTTCGAACCTACTGTAATTATTCTGTATTCGTACGGTACAGTATATGCCGTCCGTGAAGTCGCATTTCTCGTGCGTCGTTTGGACGCGGTGGTGCAAAGGTCGTGGGGACTTGTGTATCGCGCGGTTTATCGAACGAGCTATATGACTCGTACGTATGACGGTTCTGTGGTTTCGCGTGACTGAGAAGCTCGTGTAATTTTTCTTCTTCTTCTTCCTCCGTGGCTCGTATATATATATACGGAGTGAGGTTTAAGTCGCGGCGACGGATCGGACGTTGGGAAGATAGCGGAGTGAGTAACGACCGGGTCCGAACTGGGTGTGTACACTTCTGTGGGCCCAGAAGACACACATCAAGGGGGTGTCTGTGTGTGTTTCCGAGGGGTCTGTAACAAACTTCCGTCTTCCGATTGAGCGGAAGAACGATTGTTGTTAAGGAAATAAAATCTTCATTGGCACAGGAAAACGATTCAGCCCTGTTTTATGAATGTTTAGGATTTTTTTTTCAGAGAAGTCGCCCTGGCAGCTTCCCGGTTCCTCTCTCGCAGCTTTTTTTTTTTCTTTTCGACAGAAATCTGCTCAATCTCGTCTTCCAGAATTTTTCGGATTTGCATGACGTTAATTCCAAGGATGACCGCATTCAATTGATTATACCTTTCGCAATTTTCATCAACAGCCACCGCGAATTGCAAAATTATCTCGGAAGACTGGCGGAAACCCTTGGAATTAATCTACTGTAGATTTCAATGATTCTAATAAGGGACGAGCAGAGCCTGCACTGCAAAATCTGCGACGGCTGAATTTTTTTCTTGTACATAAGACTTTTTTTTAACAATAATGTACATTGCTGTAGTTGTTTTTCAGCTCAATCGGGAAACGTTCCAATTTCTATTCAGAGAACTTTTGTCAAGCCCCTCGTACACGCCTGTCCTGTGAATGTAATGTACAGGATGTGCACCGTGGATGTTGAATTGAGATGATGAAACGCTTCGTCTTTCTGCGACACCTGCAATGGGGAGTGAATCTCGGGAGCTGAATTCTTCTCTTTCGTTTTTCTTAGTCTTCCCCCTTTTTTGTTCGCATCGGTTGTCTAACCGTGTTTACGCAGGGTGTAATTTTTTTTCCCTCCACGCCGGAAGTTTGACGCAGGGGAAGACTTGGGATAAATTGCTCGAGAAGGTTTTGTTTTTTGAGGTATTCTCGAGAAATTTTCGAGAGACAACGCTCAAGGTTCTGATTTTCCTGCAGGAATGTCTAGTTTTTGATGGCTTGCTTCGAAAATATGGAGCTATGTATATTCCTGGTTGCGTGTCTCTTCAATTTTTTTTATATCATTGGGCGAAGGCATGGACGAAGCTCAGGTCGAAAAATGAAAATACCTTTACAGTAGTGATGTGATCGGCATGCATTGTCATTTTCTCTTGAAGGGATTTATTTTTCTGCTTGTAATTTGTTTCGGGCAATCGTCCCGCAAAGTTATCTATAAATTCATACAAGTCTGAATGCAATCTTAATCTAGTACAGTATATTTAGGCATAATCCATAGTCTGCGTGAGGCCATCCAGACAATTATCCGGAAAATCGTCAGGTATAGGAACTGTCAATCGTGATATTTATTGCAAAGTCAGTGATGTTTGTTGGAATGAAATCCATGATTGTGCACCATTTAAAAAATGTGTGATCGTTTTTAGCAAGAAGCAAGGCATACTTCATCTTACATTCTCCGGACACAATTTTTTTTTTCATTTTATTTTGAAATGAAGACAATTTGAATTTCGGTTCGGAACCTGTGCTCGCTATATATATTCATATTTTAACTGAATGCTTTTGTTCGGATCCGCAATGATCAAATCTTATGCGTTTATGTGTTCTTGACATTTTTGCATTATTCTGGGTTTAAGGAGTTACCGTAAAATCTTGTTCTAACAAGCTTTTTGAGACTTCTGACAACAGTTTGTTACGCTGAGTAATTTTTTTTAAACTATATTTTCCAAATAATGCCTGGAAACAATTTCCACATCTGTAATCAATCAAATGTTTATTTTCTGGCATTCTCAGATCACTGTTTGAAATGCAACGTGATCTCCTGAAACGAAATTAGCTTCAATCATGCATTTCATTAGTTGCACCAATCTCTTGATTCTGGGAACTTGTGCTATGGAACTACAGTACTTGGAAGCATATTCGTCATCAATGACAGCCTCCTTCCATGCACCAGTATAAGAACCAGTCAGTCACCTTTGGGATTGAAATCTTCAGACTTTGCCTGCTTTTAGTCACAAAATTTCTACCCGGAGAATCTATTGAACATTCCTCGAAGAAGTTAATGCTGGAATTGGGAAGTTTGTTGTAATAACGCGATTGTTTTTACGTGCACTCTATTCGCTTCCTCTTGAGACTCCAGAAACAGTTTGCTAGACTGAAACGTGTGTGTTAAAGGTATTTATTGTACCGATAGGTTTTGCTATAATGAATTTTGTCAAGGAAGAGACGAATCAGGGGATGAGTTCTTTTTTTTTTTTATTTCATGATATTCTTTTTTTTTCTTTCATATAAGGCGTTTCTGAGAACACGCAGCAGTGTCTCGTTCATTTGATGAGCTTTCGCGATGGAATTTTCACGGCGTTCGTGACGAGATGTTTGACCAGCGTCTAACCTCTTTCTTGTTCTTCTCCTTTCCGAATTGCAGGATGAGCACGGAGCGGCTGTCTGTCCAGGAAGTCGAGGTTAGTTGATCTCCTCGTTTCTTCTTGTTCTTCTTCTTTTCTTTTTCTTTTTTTTCTCTCACCTCACCACCGCCCCGCCGAGTCGAGTACTGAAGTCTTGCGTACTGACCTGGATCTTCTGCTTCCACTTGCTGCTGCTGCTGCTGCGTCTAGTTTGGGCGATGGAGACACGGAGTTAATTGGGGATTTGGGACGGAGGCAGAAGACGGCTCCTTATGAGCGACTCACTATAGTAGCTGCTGCTGAGGCCGATGAGACCACGATCCAGTTCATGTTACTCATGCATTTCGGGTGTGACTGCGTGCGTCGTGTCCTTTAGTTTGCATTTCGAGTTCAGTGCGACCCCGACATCGACATACGGACGACACCCCGAACTATATACAGACGATTCGGCCGAGGGGCACTGGCATTGAAAAATTATATATACATATATCTCCACAGCAGACAGCTGTTGGACAATAATGTCTCAAAATATGGACATTCTTTCAACATATCTGAAAAAGAAATGAATAAAACCATATTTTTTCAATGTTGATGCCTACCAAAAAAATGGAGCTATTTGTACTCAAAAAATTGAAAATATAAAATCAGTTACGAATTTCACTAATTCATAATCGAAAATAGGCTATTTTTGCGTCCATTTTCCAATTTTTTTCCATTACGTTATTTACGCAGTATCGCTGAAATTTGTCTTGTTCTTTGCTTCTTCAGTTCGTTCTGATGCCAAACAATCAGATTCCATGCTGTTTTCTCCTGCAAATTTCATTCCTGTGTTTCGAAGTTGAGGCAGAATTTCATTCAATTTTTGGCACTTCCTTCATAAATTTTGATGAACAGGAGAACAAATTTAATATGATCCTTTCAAATTCTAATGGGAAACGTGATTCAACATATGGATGCTCCAGCATATAGGGAGAAGGTCCAAGCACCAATTCCATCCGCATCTTGGGTTGCCGCTGTACAGTATTTAGAGTTTTAGACCCTTGCTGGAGAAGAGTTCAGTGCAGCATTCCTTTTTCCACCTTCTTCCCCTGGTGTCTGGTCTTTTTCCAGATTATTATTTTTTATCTGTGAGCATTTTATTAAAATTTTATGGCAGAAACCTCTCAATCGCTTGCCCTTGATTTTAAAGTCAGATGGCTGCGATTGAAGGAATATTCAAAGAAGGCTACTATTTTCATAACTTGCGAGTCTTAGTTCAACGCATGTGCATTGCAAATTTCTTGAAATACTCTAGCTAGTATAGTGCCAGTTCGAATTCTAAGACTCCGAAACCGACATGTGTCACGAGATGGAAATGCATGAGAATTAGACTATCCGGCGACGAAGTCCTGACTCCTGAGTGCTTCCGCCTGAATAATCGAATATCACGAAAGGTAAATTAGGAAATATCGTTCGCCAGGGATGGAAAAGAATTCCCTGATGGCCTGACCTAATCTTACATATATTGTGATAGATTGCTATACTTGGTATATCACCGATAACCACACATTGAGAATCGTTATTCCATCGAGAAAACTTTAAGCAAATCGACCTTGTGAACTTCGATTCAAGAAAAGAAAGATTCTGCTTGTATTTGTGTTGACCCGGAGTAAAGCACGTTACTTGTTTGCCTCTCGGTTAATCTACATTTCGTCAAGACTAATTGAAATAAAATCTGAATGATTTTCCGATAATTTCAGCAGTCAACCACAGTACGCCTCTTTTGCTTTTTCGGGCGGAGGGGGGGGGGTGGTATTCTGAAGACAGAAACTGTCGAAATAGATGGCTAGAAATATGACAAATGAATTCACATCAATTCGTATGGTTCGCTGTTTTCTTGAAATTTGAAATATGCGTAAACGTTTGAGAAATATCAATGAACAATACGCTATTGAAAGTTTTGGACTTGTCCTTCAGAGAATGATTCATAATTCGAAAGCTAATATCATAGGTTCCATGTCCTTTTCCTTGACATTTTAAAATCTTCTCGAAGCTTCCGCATTTGTGCGTAGAATATAAATTTAACGACACAGCAGTTGTCTCCATTCTGCTGTTCAGGACTATCTGAAAATATCATAGGTTCCATGTCCTTTTCCTTGACATTTTAAAATCTTCTCGAAGCTTCCGCATTTGTGCGTAGAATATAAATTTAACGACACAGCAGTTGTCTCCATTCTGCTGTTCAGGACTATCTGAAAAGGGACATTTTGCGATGAGATTTCTTAGATTCCATGTAGCCGTGTAATGCGCTTTATCTTATCGTCATGCTCAGCGCCGGGGTTTGATGTTGCGTAACAACTGCATAAGCCATTAAGGAGCGTTTCAATCGATTTTATGGTCCCGAAATTTGGGCGTGTGCATCGGAGATTTCTGACTAGTATAATCGAGGGATCATCAAAGATAAATGCGCAAGAACGGGATTTTTATGCTCTTCTTCCTCATGAACGCGCGAGTCAAATCCGTGGGTGTTCTTTTTCTTTTTCATTCGAAGGGGTGCGATTAATATTCACGCGAACTGCGCTTGAAATATTTTTTTTATTTTCGATCAGCTGTGTACTGTATACGTGCCGCCGAGAAGTTAACTGCTCAACTTCATTTCTGATGCCTGCTTACTTGCAAAGGCAACGATGATGGGGAGTAAGATTTGATTGACGATCGAAGCAGGACAAGTGTGGCCTTTTTTTTATCATAGGTTCCATGTCCTTTTCCTTGACATTTTAAAATCTTCTCGAAGCTTCCGCATTTGTGCGTAGAATATAAATTTAACGACACAGCAGTTGTCTCCATTCTGCTGTTCAGGACTATCTGAAAAAGGAGCATTTTGCGATGAGATTTCTTAGATTCCATGTAGCCCTGTAATGCGCTTTATCTTATCGTCATGCTCAGCGCCGGGGTTTGATGTTGCGTAAAAACTGCATGAGCCATTAAGGCGCGTTTCAATCCATTTTATGGTCCCGAAATTTGGGCGTGTGCATCGGAGATTTCTGACTAGTATAATCGAGGGATCATCAAAGATAAATGCGCAAGAACGGGATTTTTATGCTCCTCTTCCTCATGAACGCGCGAGTCAAATCCGTGGGTGTTCTTTTTCTTTTTCATTCGAAGGGGTGCGATTAATATTCACGCGAACTGCGCTTGAAATATTTTTTTATTTTCTATCAGCTGTGTATACGTGCCGCCGAGAAGTTAACTGCTCAACTTCATTTCTGATGCCTGCTTACTTGCAAAGGCAACGATGATGGGGAGTAAGATTTGATTGACGATCGAAGCAGGACAAGTGTGGCCTTTTTTTTTTCTTTTTTTTTTCTCTCGGTCGAGTTTGCTGGTTATATACAGCGGGAAACGAGGCCCCCCCTCTGGTTCGTGTGTCGTAAACCTGTCAGCGCTGCCGCTGCCGGGTTATCCGCAAATGAGTCCCGACTGGTTGAAACTAAGAAGAGAGAAGTGAATAGCATTTCGCCACCTCGACTGGTAGAATCTAATTGCGTTTGACGGACATCTGGGATTTTTATGGCCTGAAATTTACGACTCGCTCCTCTGAATTTCGACGCCACATTCTGTATATGTAGTGAAGTGAGTACAGAACGACGATGGACAGCAGCAGCTGTTTAAGCTGGCCCAACGAATGGCTGCACCTTGTCGTTCCGAAAATAGCTCGCACTTTGCTTATGTCATATAGAACCCTCAAGCTCGAGAAATAACGTCGTCGTCATGCCACGAACTTTTACGGCAATGCCAGGGGTTTCTCGAAAGTTCCGAGAATCAGTTTCATATCTCACGAGAATTTTTGACGATACTGTATTTACAAAACGAACGAAAAATTTGTTTTATGTGACAGGAAATCTTCTCTGATGTGCACAAATGCGTTACAGTATTTCTCTTATAGTTTCGAGCAATGGCTATTATTGGGATGTTATCTGTTATTTGTTGTGAAAACTTGAAGGAAATCAGCAAGGTTGTTAATCCAAAAATAAAGAGGATCATTTCAACACCAACAAAAGCGGAAATTCGGAACTTTTCATGTGCTTCATTGAACACGAAGAGATACAGAAATAAATCCTGAATATTGAGGATCTCAGTTTCTTACGCTTTCTGGTATTGGATCTCATCATCATATTTTAAACTTTTCCACCCGATTTATATGCGCATAGGAATTTTTCGTAATTTGCGAAACGTTTGTAACAACGGAAATTCTTATGTTAGAAAGCTAAGGCCTCATCCTATTTGAAAACAATTTCGATTTCAAGAACGACCGAAGAAATTGAAGTTGCATATTACTGTATTGGGAAAATATTCTGTATCTTGAATGAATGAATGAATGAATGAATGAATGATTTTATTCAAAACTACAGTACGTTACTATTTTTTCTACGCGCCGGTCTCGTATCCAGAATTAAGTACCGTATCTTCGTCGAGTTGGTTCTCAAGAACGATTGCGAATTGACAGCCACTTAACGACGAAACTGTAAAACCGATTTTTGAACCTTAATAGACCGAGATCCGTTATCATTGATGCTGAAGGAATCTTATCGAGTCACCGAGCACGATTCCGGATGACGAATTGCATAATAAAACGAGGCCGGGATACTGCTTATAATTTTATTTTATTTTTCAATGTTCGGAGATAAACTCGCGTAAACATACAGTATATGCTTCCCAAAATGCGCGTGATGTGAAGTGACATCACTCAATTCGATGCATGTGTTCTTTTATGAACGGGATTACTGTAACACAGACTGGGTGATTCTAGAATGTCCAACGAAACGGCGTTTACTATACAGTATATCGTTTCGGGCAGTCGACTCTCATCCCTGAGTGATTGAAATGCGAGTGTTTTCAGTCAATGTATACAGTAATATATGGATGAACACGACTTGATGAATTGAATTTGTTTTTTTTTTTTTTCGTATTTTTTCGTTGTGGATTTAATTATAGGCTCACTTCAACAATATCCTGATCTCGATGAAGACCGACCGGAACACGCTGTCGGGCCGACTGGAGCTGCAGAAGCGACACCGGGACAACGCCGAGGCGAACATGGAGTCTGAGCTGAACGGACTGAAGGCCGGGGTGGAGAAGTTGCTGACCTGCAACGCGGATCCCAAGGTCGTGGACCTGGCTTGCAGCATGCAGACGCAGCTCGAGGTCCTGGACCAGTCTGCGTCGCGAATCTCCAGTGCTGCAGAGGTGAGCTATTGGATATCCATGTACAATATGTATTTATGCACAGTACAGTGCTCTACTGTGAAATCAATACTTTGTTTCTTCATGCCATCTCCAAATGCGTCTTTATTCTTCCTTCTTTTCGTTGTTGAGGGGATTGATTGGCGTGGAGTGTCTATTGACGTTGTATGTACAGTATACCTGTTGAAACGGTTTTCTATTGGTCCTTGCTTAATTTTTGTTTTTAATCTCAGTATAACACACTCTTGCTGTGGTCATGTGTACACATGGGCCATATGCATTGTTGGTGACTAGCACGATTTCGGAGAACCCGACTTCTGCATAATTTCAAAACCTTCAAATTTCTAAAGGTTGACCTTATTGTGCGGAGATTATGAATGAGCTCTAACCAAAATGTGATTGGATGGAGTGTATTTTAGAATTCAGAAGTAGTTAAATGAAAAAAATAAAAAGTACTGTACCATATTTTTTAAAAGATGCTGCTCTATTTCCAGGGACATACATGCAGTTGCTGATGAATAAATGCTCTCCTTATACACATGTATTTTCTGTATGTTTCAGCTTATACTCCAGTAAGATGACTGCAGTAATGTATTCACTTTTTTACATGTAAGAAAGGGTAGGTCTGAAAAAATAAAAATGTTTTTCACCTTTGTGAGTTTTTCCCGTAATGTCTACAAAAGAAGTTGGAGATGCGGTCTATTCTTCGTCTACCTGATGTGGAAGTACTCGAAAGAATCCATTACAGGTGGTACCTCGCAATTCCAACCTCCCGCAATTTGGCGGTCGAATTCGCAGGGAGGTTGACTTACAATTCGACCCTTGCCCCTCAATTCGACTAGCTTTGGCCTTTCTTTTCGCAGTTTTTTACTTACATTTTTGAATTTCAGGGAGTGTCGAATTGCGAGGTACCACCTGTTCCTGTTTTCCACAAAATGTCTGTCCTATATACATGCTCAGAGAACCGTGAATCTATGCCGATATTCGATGATCAATCGAAAATCGATTGATCATGTGCGCCATTTTAAAATAACATGGTTGATGATGTTTTATTCAAACGTGTAATGCGTCTCGAAGTCCATGAATTTGTTTTTAAGATATTTTCTTCGCGGAACCCACTCAAACTTTCTTCTGTACGGTAGTGTACAGGTACTGTACTTCGATAATTTCTCAATGCTCATGAAAATTCGGGAGGAATCCAGATGCATGTGGAACTTTCAAAGACGGATCAGTGTACAGGGTCCTTCATAAATTGTATATTCATGAAACATGTTCGTATATACTGAAGCACTGTTCTTGAATTATTCCCCGGGTGCTGATGCGGTATATTCATATACCAACTCATGGTCGTTTCAATGATAGAAAAAGGGACATTCATCATATGTAAACGACGCTTTTAAACTGCGCAGTTTCACCCCTGATGTTGGTGAATTATTTATCTAAGTTCCAGGTTTGTGGACTCGGTTCTTTGTCTTGTGCTCCTATTTTGGGGGCGTATTAAGCGTATGGCGACCTTCTCTTTGTGCTGTGAAGTGCTAAACTGTTTTCGATCAAGACGCCAGTATACAGTAGGTGACATGTTATTCTTACTGGTTATTCCCCCTCCATCATCGGCAACAACCACATCGTTTGAACTACTGTATAATCATCCGCTGCTCATTTTTTTTTTCGACCTACATAAAACAATAGTAATTTCTTGACACTTGAAAGACAAACAAAAAATGTTCAAATCTGCATTGCATTTGCTCCGGACAGGTTTACGGACAGGTGCAACAGGAAGACAAGGTCTCGAGAATGATGGACATTTTCGTCGTCGACAAATTCGACCGGGTTGCTTACCGACGTGGAACAGCAAGGCTTTTATCGAGCGTGAAACGAATACAGTATATCTTGGGAGTTCGAGCTCTTTATTGCAGCAGCAGTACGGTGCTTGACTTACGGCAATGCCAGGGGTTTCTCGAAACTTCCGAGAATCAGTTTCATATCTCACGAGAATTTTTGACGATACTGTATTTACAAAGCGAACGAAAAATTTGTTTTTGTGGACAGGAAATCTTCTCTGATGTGCACGAATGAGTTACAGTATTTCTCTTATAGTTTCGAGCAATGGCTATTATTGGGATGTTATCTGTTATTTGTTGTGAAAACTTGAAGGAAATCAGCAAGGTTGTTAATTCAAAAATAAGTGAGGATCATTTCAACACCAACAAAAGCGGAAATTCGGAACTTTTCATGTGCTTCATTGAACATGAAGAGATACAGAAATAAATCCTGAATATTGAGGATTTCAGTTTCTTACGCTTTCTGGTATTGGATCTCATCATCATTTTTGAAACTTTTCCAACCGATTTATATGCGCATAGGAATTTTTCGTAATTTGCGAAACGTTTGTAACAACGGAAATTCTTATGTTAGAAAGCTAAGGCCTCATCCTATTTGAAAACAATTTCGATTTCACGAACGACCAAAGAAATTGAAGTTGCATATTACTGTATTGGGAAAATATTCTGTATCTTGAATGAATGAATGAATGAATGATTTTATTCAAAACTACAGTACTTTACTATTTTTTCTACGCGCCGGTCTCGTATCCAGAATTAAGTACCGTATCTTCGTCGAGTTGGTTATCAAGAACGATTGCGGATTGACAGCCACTTGCCGACGAAACTGTAAAACCGATTTTTGAGCCTTAATAGACCGAGATCCTTTATCATTGATGCTGAAGGAATCTTATCGAGTCACCGAGCACGATTCCGGATGACGAATTGCATAATAAAACGAGGCCGAGATACTGCTTATAATTTTATTTTATTTTTCAATGTTCGGAGATAAACTCGCGTGAACGTACAGTACAGTATATGCTTCCCAAAATGCGCGTCATGTGAAGTGACATCATCGCTCAATACATATGTTCTTTTATGAACGGGATTACTGTAACACAGATCCAACGAAACGGCGTTTGCTATACAGTATATCGTTTCGGGCAGTCGACTCTCATCCCTGAGTGATTGAAATGCGAGTGTTTTCAGTCAATTTATACAGTAATATATGGATGAACACGACTTGATGAATTGAATTTTTTTTTTTTCATGTTTTTTCGTCGTGGAATTAATTACTCCGAGTGAAGTTGTTATAGGACTAGAGCTACTTCTGGCTGGCCTTGTGCGACAGCCCGGCTGACCTCGACGTCTTCGCTGTGGCCCTGTTGCGGCTCCGCTTGTACCTCAGACTCGACTTGCCTGAGAAGGCCGGGGTGGAGAAGTTGCTGACCTGCAACGCGGATCCCAAGGTCGTGGACCTGGGAACGTCGTACGTCTGCGTCGAGCTCCAGGACCTGGTCAGACGCAGCGCTTAGAGGTCACGACGTCTCCACTCGATAACCTATAGGTACATGTTATACATAAATACGTGTCATGTCACGAGATGACAAAAATCAATACTTTGTTTCTTCATGCCATCTCCAAATGCGTCTTTATTCTTCCTTCTTTTCGTTGTTGAGGGGATTCATTGGCGTGGAGTGTCTATTGACGGTGTATGTATAGTATACCTGTTGAAACGGTTTTCTATTGGTCCTTGCTTAATTTTTGTTTTTAATCTCAGTATAACACACTCTTGCTGTGGCCATGTGTACACATGGGCCATATGCATTGTTGGTGACTAGCGCGATTTCGGAGAAGCCGACTTCTGCATAATTTGAATAACCTTCAAATTTATAAATGTTGACCTTATTGTGCGGAGATTATGAATGAGCTCTAACCAAAATTTTATTGGATGTAGTGTATTTTAGAATTCAGAAGTAGCTAAATAAAAAAATAAAAATTACTGTGCCATATTTTCAACAGATGCTGCTTCATTTCTAGGAACATACAGTTGCTGATGAATAAATAATCTCCTCATGCACATGTATTTTCTGTATGTTTCAGCTTATATTCCAGTAAGATGACTGCAGTACTGTATATACTTTTTTACATTTAAGAAAGGGTAGGTCTGAAAAAATATAAATATTTTTCACCTTTTGAGTTTTTCCCCTAATGTCTACGAAAGAAGTCGGAGATGCGGTCTATTCTTCGTCTACCTGATTTGGAAGTACTGTACTCGAAAGAATCCATTACAGGTGGTAATACCTCGCAATTCCACCTCCCGCACTTTGGCGGTCGAATTCGCAGGGAGGGTGACTTACAATTCGACCCTTGCCCCGCAATTCGAATAGCTTTGGCCTTTTTTTTCGCAGTTTTTTACTTACATTTTTGAATTCCAGGGAGTGTCGAATTGCGATGAGGTACCACCTGTACCTGTTTTCCACAAAATGTCAGTCCTACATGCTCAGAGAACCGTGAATCAATCGAAAATCGATTGATCATGTGCACCATTTTAAAATAACATGGTTGATGATATTTTATTCAAACGTGTAATGCGTCTCGAAGTCCATGAATTTGTTTTTAAGATGTTTTCTTCGCGGAACCCACTCAAACTTTCTACAGTACGGTAGTGTACAGGTACTTTGATAATTTGTCAATGCTCATGAAAATTCGGGAGGAATCCAGATGCATATGGAACTTTCAAATACATTTTTTCAGTGTACAGGGTCTTTCGTAAATTGTATATTCATGAAACATGTTCGTATATACTGAAGCACTGTTCTTGAATTATTCCCCGGGTGCTGATGCGGTATATTCATATACTAACTCATGGCCGTTGCAATGATAAAAGAAGGGACATTCATCATATGTAAATGACGCTTTTAAACTGCGCAGTTTCACCCCTGATGTTGGTGAATTATTTATCTGGGTTCCAGGTTTGTGGACTCGGTTCTTTGTCTTGTGCTCCTATTTTGGGGGCGTATTAAGCGTATGGCGACCTTCTCTTTGTGCTGTGAAGTGCTAAACTGTTTTCGATCAAGACGCCAGTATAGGTGACATGTTATTCTTACTGGTTATTCCCCCTTCATCATCGGCAACAACCACATCGTTTGAACCACTGTATAATCATGCGCTGCTCATTTTTTTTTCGACCTACATAAAAACAATAGTAATTTCTTGACACTTGAAAGACAAACAAAAAATGTTCAAATCTGCATTGCATTTGCTCCGGACAGGTTTACGGACAGGTGCAACAGGAAGACAAGGTCTCGAGAATGATGGACATTGTGATGATCTACGTGGAAAACCAAAAACGAAATAACGAAAAGGAACATGCCGAGTTGGAAGAACTGAGGTGGGGTCGTCGCGCAAATGTTTTTTTCCGCGTGCGCGAATTTGATCGTGATTGGGATTAAGTTTATTGGTTTTTTCAAATTGTATCTTAGGAAACTGATGACCACAAACCCCGCTGGCGACGGTGAAGACTTTTTCCCGTCGACGGGCATGTCGTCGAGCGCTTTGAACGGAGGGAACAGCGGCGAAGACGGAAGTAGGTCCGGGCGTCTGCGCACCGTTTCCGTTGCTGCAACGGCTGCTGTGCGAATGGTGAGAATAATTTTCGACGGAGTTGTTTCACCACCATGAAGGAGGTTAATCTAGGCAATTTTTTGTTTCTATTTTTTAAAAATTGAATGCAAGAGAATTCAGCGTCTCCATATGAAGCCTTTCGAGGCCAAATCGCGACGAAAATAGCGTTGAAGGCCGTGCCGGGAGTTGAATTATTTGCGAGCGAAATATTGGTTCAAGTTGAAAACTGGCGTGAATTTATCTGATTATACTTGTTTCAGAATATGCAACGACATTACTCGCAAAATCATGCAAAATATCATGCATCAGTGGTAAATTTTACGCGGATTTTGGTGACGGGTAATCTTTTGATTAGAGAAAGCAATCAAGTGAAGACGAAATACATTGAGGGGGCCTCAGGATGCGGACATAATTGGTGCTTTGGCGTTGTCATTAGGTCAGGTCGTCCGCATGTCGAAACCCGTTTTCCTATAGCATGTAATGGCAAGATATCTATTTGGGTTTTCCTGTTCATCAAAAATTCTGAGTGAAGTCCCCAAAATTAAAAAAAAAATCTTTGAGTTTAACGAGCAGGAAAAAACTGTGTCTTGAAGAAAGTCTCATTTCCTGGCTTTAGAGGGAGATCAAGAATAAAAGAGCAACAGCAAATACAGCTGTGCTATCATGACGGAAAATGAAATCTAAAAAAAAGTACAAAATTAGCCTGTTTAAAACTATGAGTTGAGTACTTTCATTATGACACAATTTTTTAATATATGAGTATAAATAACTAAAATGGTCAAAAGGCAAAAAATGTAGAAAATTATATTTTTTCAATTTTTCTAGAAATGTTTTAAAAGTTTTGGTATGCCGAGGCATTGTCCTGATGTCAAGACAGATTTTCTTTTCCGTTTTAAGAATCCCTAAGTCGAATCTCCCGTATGTCGGGGTCCCACTGTACCTGATTCTGCTGTTTTACGCTGACAGGCTTAATGTGCCGATACTGTACCTGCCGGATGTGTAAATGTAACCTCACTGTCACCCTCATTGATGTAATCTCTTTAATGGTGTCAAGGTAGGACGGAGAGTTAATCGGAAGAACGTCTACGACGTGCCGGAAATGGTAATTTAAGTAAAACCGTGCTGAGGAAAGCTTGTGAACGTTCCTCTCTTCGTTTCGAATAGACCGTGCAGATTATTTCCGTGTAACATGATTCTTTCTTTTCCTCTCGCAGTTTAATGACCAAATACGGTATTTTCCCAGTGTACTTTTCAAGTAAGTTACAGTTCTTCCGCGAGAAGGGAAAAACACTACAGTACTGTATTACGATAGACGAGGTATAAAATCATATTTCTCTGCATCATATTTCTCTGTATTACGATAGACGAGGTATAAAATCATATTTCTCTGCAACGTTTCCCGTATGTAGATTGGAAGGATGCGTTTCTGTCAAAGATAAATTTGTCAATTTCTCTCGAAAAATTCGTCAAGATGACAAACTTTGTTGAGCGAATGTGGATAACCTACTTTTGTTGAAAATATGTTCGATTTTTGAAACATCTTGACGGATAATTTTGTAACGTGTCTGTCTGCTTTTTTAATTGAACGAATCAGGCGGAAGAGTGACGAATGATTCAGTAATGAACTGTCCTGTTCTCTGTGTAGTCTTTCGGCTGATTCACACCCTGTCAACTTCATAAAATGACGGCAGAAACCCAACTTTGTACCCTGAAATCTGTGCTAATTCATACGAAATCATTGCATTTTTTTCTGCTTAACCTAAACAAGTTATTCCCTGAAAAGAAATCCACAGGCGGTGCTGTATATATATATAGTCGACGCTGGTTCCTCTATGTATAAAAATATTCAATTTTTTGTATTCCTCATATTCTCAGCGGTCCATCCTTTGAAATTGCGCGTGATGCGTACTTTATTGTCACTTCTTGGCAGAAACCCCTTTTGGTACAGCAATGATGAAAATTTCCGAAAGGTTGTTGAATTTTTGTGTTACTACAGTACTTTACTTATGTTCTTTCTTTGGAGAATAGCTGAAGAGAGCAAAAAAACGAGTTTGACGTCGGTACCGTAGTGTTTTAAAATCAGTAATCTCGAATTATATGTAATTAACGCATATTCACGTTGTTCTAATTGGAGAGAAGTAGGTGTCCTTCAAATCCTTCGCCGTTTTTCTATTCGTTCGAGTCAGATTCTGTGAAGATCATATCCGGTCTTTGTCCACTTTCAGTATGTTTTTTTTTCTTTCTTCCGATTACCGGAATATTATACTGACGCAATTTTCAAATGTTTCATTGAGTTAATCAGCTGGCTTTTAGTTCGTGAAAAACCGGGACGTAATTTTTTCGTTTTCAGGGAAGTTCGTTAGCTGGACTCGCATTATTATACTCAAACCGCGGAAGTTTCACGAGCATTTATAATGACGAGTTGTCTGAAAGAATCAAATTCCTCTTTACGAGGTTAATAATAGCGTGAATATCTCTTAAAATACCCTGCGGCCAAGGAATTATTCTTGGGTATCCTAGACTTTTGTAACTCTCGAACCTTTTCAATGCAGGGCTGTTAAAATTACTCCGTAGTTGAGTTCAGTAATGCGATTTATATCGCTGGTCTCCCGCTGTTTTTCTAGGAGTAATACTGCTGAGTGGAGAAGACTTGACTTGAACAGTTTTTCAAACTGACGGATCTCTCGACACAGCAGAAGCTTCTGCCTTGAAAATTGAACGACCAAATGAACCGTACTCGGATATCATTCCTCATTAATGGGCACAATAAGTACTAGGTGTGATGCAGGGCTGTATAACAATAAGAAAATGAGCTGAATGAAAGTCCGAAAGTTAGGAAAGCATGTGACGACAGTTTGGAAATAAACTTTAGACTGTCGGGATGGGACGCAGATGAAAAATATAAATACCTGTATGCAGTATTGTGAGGTTCGTGTTTCTAATGTTTTTATCACGAGCTCACGGCTGACCTTCGAGCGTGGAACTCAAGCAGAAAATTGGCCAAGTTTCACGCATTGAGACTTGACGAAGAATCCACGCTGTGTGAGGTAGAATTATTATCCTGCAAGGCTTCAGCTTTTTATTTTCGTAACTCAAGCACATGCAAATACTGTATTTCATCAGCTCGCCATAAATTCTCGAGAGGCGTGCAAATCCCGACAAAAAATATTCCCGCAATGAAGACTTGCGATGAGAGAAATATGGTTGGAATCTAGGTTCTTTTCCGCGAAAAAGTTTCATGTTTTTACCTTGATAATTTTCGTAATTTTTTATTTGAAGAGATTTTCCTTGGGAATACAGTATGTACTCTATTGGCATCATCGTGAAAATTGTTGAGGGTTGAAATGATAACTAATCATGAAATCGCTGAAAAGAAAAAGTCTGTGGAGCAAGAAGTTTTTTCTGGTATGTATTTCGAAGAAAAATCCTGCTGCGAAGCGGCGTTACACTTTTGCCAACGGATCTGGGAGTAGGTCCTTGTCCTTTCCGATTGAGTCAATTGGCAGTAAATGGCCGGTAAATTCTGGGGACGAGGATCAGGACCGTGGCCTCTCCAACTCACGGTGTCATCCAACGTCCCAGAGTTTCCTTAGCCTTTTTTCTGAGCATCAGGCTGTCGGTTGGGTGAGACAACACTTTTCCACTCCTGAATGTTGCTGTGCTTATTGTCAAGTGTGTGTGTTCGTTTTTGTTGTTTTGTTTCGTTTTTTCGGCCTCCTTTGGGATTTGGCTAATTATATTGTACTCTGAAAGATGGTTGGTTTGTATACTGTGATCTGAGTCGTTTGGCTTCAGATGCGGAGCGAACGGCGCCCCGCTGTGTGTGAATGCTAATGAGAAACGACTTCGTTTCTTATATAGATGCCAGCCAGCAGGATTTTTGTTGTTGTTGTTGCAAATTATTGTGTATCTTCATTTGTGATGAAACGACGGAAAGTTGCGTAGCGTTTCTGTCGAGACAATTTGTGTCCGCTTCACGTGTGGATGGGATCGTCATTTTTCTCTACGCTTTATTTGATGTTTGGAACAACACAGATGACACGCACCTGTTTGGCAATTACCCGTGTTTCTCCCAAAATGAAACAGAAATTTACTAACTAACATTTTATCATCATTTTCCTAAAAAAAAAAAAAACCACCGGAAGACCTCGCATTATTATACGCACGGTAATCGTGATTTTGATAAAGGTTTTTCAACGACAGATCTGCTGGGAACTCTACGGCCAATTTTAAAATACAAGTAAATTTGTAGAATTTGTCTAGCTACATTGGCTATATGCAATTTATTCCTGAATTTATTCCGGACTATAATTGGGTGAAAACAAATACTGTGCTGTCCTCCATTCTAGGCAAGTACCGCGTGCATATTTTAATCCCAGGACTTTGAGTGCACGTCATACTCTAGTATAGTACAGTATTCAGCATGTTTTTCTGACAATGTTGACATTTTTAGTGCGCGGAATAATACAGTAAAAATCTCGTTGCAACGAATCTTGTTATAGCAAATTAATGCTTACAAATTATTATTATTATTATTTTAGTCCTTGGTCCAGACTGTTATTTTAATTTCGTTTTTACGAACTTTTTTATAACTAAGCTTTTTTGATGTTCCAAACGCTTCGTGGTGAAAAGATTTACTCTTCACCACGAAGTCAAATTAGGTAAGGTGGATATTTTTTTTTTAAAAGCTGTCGTACCAAGTATGAATTTACGCTCAAGTGAAAATTAAATTCAGACGGATTAAACCTGGTTTTATAAAAATATTATGACATTCAAGACGTTATTGCATACAACAGAGGCAGGTGAAATGAAAATGCCCATTTAAACTGAGTTCCCTGAGACTGAAAAACTTTTGCTTGTGAAAATTCCTGTTGTGGAAAACTTAATTCAAAAGCTATTATGCCTTGATGGGTTTTTTTCTAGTTTTCAGCCACAAAAAAAAAAAACGAAGGTGTGCTCTTGAGCTTGGAGATGTGATTTTTATTACAGTAGATGAATGCGATATTTCATTCAATGGTACACCATATAAAGTTGTTCTGAGTCGGGAAAGATTGTACAGTACCTGTACTCTGTAATCTTGAAGTTGTGTTCGGGTGGCATCATCGTTAGATGGAAAACTCTTACTTGCTTGGGGGAAACACGACGGCGTGTGTATGTGTGTGTGAATATCGTATTATTAGTGACTCGTCGACAGCAGGCTCTTTTTGTTTGCGGCTATAAACACGCATCACGCGCTGCAGATATTTTTTTCACATGTCGAGTGTTGTGATTATTCAGGACTTGAAGCAGAGAGGAGGTCACAGCAAGCCGGGCGGAAGAAGCGTGTCTGTTTCGGATCGGTGTGGGAGTCCGGTATTCGGTGGTTCCTCTCATGCCGCACATGTTTCCGGCCTGATAATTGCCGAGTCCTCGACGCCTGCGATGACGACGACGATGACTGGCGGTGACGAAACTGCAGCCAGCTGCGGAGGGTACTGCTGCTTCACGACGATGACACCGATTGCCGGCATTATTTAACTCTTTTTTTCTTCTTCTTCTTTATTCGCGGTTATTTGCTTTATTTATGCATAAGAGGGTTGACGACGGCATGTAGTCCAATTGTGGAGGAAGACCATGTCGCAAGGGATCGGAGCGGAAGCGGCTTTCCCGAGACGGGAGGACCCTCGTCTAATATGCACAGCAATGCGTCCAGCAGTGATGGATCGTCTCTGAGGTTCGTGTACAGCGGTACTGTATTATGCACGCTTCGAAGTACTGTACAAGTCGTCTTCTTATTTTACGCACTTATGAACATTTCAAGAAAGTGGGGACCTAACTCACGAGCGATTCAGCTTAGGGACACAAAAAAATAAAGAATTATAATCCACTCCGCATTCGGACCAAGTCTTGATATCAACAATCTCCCAGGATTTATAAAAAAAAATGAAAGTTTTCGTTTTTCCGAATTTTGATATCTCTTAAACAAATGAATGAACAATGATCACAAGAATGATCACATGAACAAAATATAAAAACATTTCATGATGAAATTACTCTGATTCATAATCATGAATGAGCCAATTTTGTGCTTCATTTTTTAAAGAAATTTTTTCTTTTCTTGTTAAAACAGTACACTTGGACTTGTTCGTGTTCTTTGCTTCAGCGAGCTCTTTCTGATTCCAGAAGATCGATTCTCTCTGGTTTTTTTCTGTATTTTGAATTTGAGAAAAAAAAATTTTCAATTTTTTGGTGACTTCATTCGTAATTTTTTGATGACGGAAGAAGCAATTAAATATGCTCCCATTAAAGACTGGGAAAATGTGATCCAACCTGCAGACGCTCTGACGCAGAAAAGGGTCCAAGCACCAATTAAATCCGCATCTCGGTGACCCCCTGTACAGTATTATTTTCTGCACATACAGTATTTTATTATGGGCCCTTTCCTGTTATTAAAACTATAGCAACCCCGCTTTTACGGTGTTTGAGGACTGCATTATTATGTGTACCGTCTCGGTAGAGTAGAAAAACTCACTACATCCTGACTAGTCAGCTTCAGGGTTCGCTGGGCCACGTGAATCAAAATACCCCTTCTCATCCCAAATGAATCGTTTAGTTTTACAGCATAGGGTAATCGGACGTTATCAGATGCTTATGGACTGGCAAAAATTGTATCATATGAGGAAGTTTCGGACGTGATATTCACGAGCTCTTATTTTGTCCAAAGCAAGGTGACCATCCAATGCGAAAGGGAGAAATTCAAACAATTCGGCACTTTGAAAAATACGAAACGTGTGTCTTATTTCCACGAGTCGTGAACATGAATTGGCCAGGAAAGGAAGTCCAAATAATGCTACCCTCGAAGTAAAGAGTGGACAATTGCTGCAATAAAGAAATCAAAATTGAGGAACGTGTGTGTTTTATTGAACCGTCTTTGATTCTGCTGAAGGCATCGCAGTGACTCTCAGCAATCGGTGCACGCCGGTCATCGGGATTCTGCCCAACGTGGGTCCGTCCNCAAGGAGTTTTTCCTGAACACTGAATGTTTTTAGGTTAATCATATGCTGGTTCATTTTCTATCCAATGAACTTTTGCTATAGACCCCATATAGACTATAGACTATATAGACCTTTTGCTATAGAGTATAGAGTATATAGACTATAGATACATATAGTAAATGTACTCTCAACGCTTTCGGAAATTTCAGAGGTATACAGCAGTGCATGCTTGTATTTTACTCGAATCAGTTCTATTAAGAAAATTACCTGCATCAACATACCGTACCTTGAACTAATACTCCGATGGAACGTAGAAAACTCGACCAGGTGTCATGACCATATATCATCTCAATCGAAAGAAGGTCAGGCTAGGGCCTTACCTCTATATGCAGCACTGTGTACGCAACTGCGATTGAAGTTCATGCGTCCAGTATTGATTAATATAGGGCCTGTATCCAGCATATTCATCAAGAATTTCATATAATGAGGGTTGAAAAGCGTAAGGTGAACTCAAGAGAGCGAAATTATCCTGTATATAAGCTTGGAAGTGCGATAAAAGTAACGAAAGGATGAACAGGTTTGAAATATTGGTGGAATACGTTTCATGCATATGTCTTTTGATTTGCAGCTCGGATTGGGGGTGAAGCGTCAGAGACCGTGTCCACTCTGATGACCACGGGGGTGAAGAATTGATTGGACGCCAGAAACTGTCGAAGAGGAGTTGAGAAACGTTGCAAAATTCTTCATCGAACGTTGTTTTTCGGTTTAATTCTTGATATATATTTTTTGTGAAATGAACGAATCGTGATATTCTCGGTGAAAGGTTCTGCGAGTATCCAAAGCAGACTTGCTTCCGTTCGTTCTCTGCGTGATCCAGGTTGCGAGTTGGTTCGAATAGCCTAATTTTGCTTTGGTTTGCTTTTTTTGGTGCCATTCAAGTGTGAAGAAGTTGGAAGTCGAGTCCGGTGCACTTTTGAGAAGCGCAGAATGTGTTGTGGTGTTCCTCCCGATGACTGGAGTTTTTCAGGATATGTCGCTGATGCTGCTGGATATTAATAAATGGGAACAATGAATCCTGTACTGGACTTGGTAAATGCGCTGTTTCAATTTCAGGTTTGATACTTCTGAATGTATGTCAGAAGATCTATATATATATGCACATAAATGCGTGGAGCGTGATTGTGTTTCTTTTACCGCGGTAATAAGAGTGCAGAGTATATATAATGGAACACTAGCTCACATGAAATAGAGCAGTGATGGTCTACAACCCATGAGTATCCACAAAAGGTTTTTGCAAGTCTGAACAAAAAGTTCTTCTGCACAATAAATTCACCCAAATAAGTAGCAATGAGGTATGTTATCTCTATAGAAAGACAATGGCTGTTGAAGTTATCTGATGAGAAATAGAAGTTGGCATTTCTCAGTCCTATGATAGAAATTCTGACAAAAATTTTCACCTGCTGAAATAAATGATTCAAGTGTTGATTCTGAGAAGCCTTACTTTGACATCAGCTTTTGTATCTTTTGGAGACATTCCACTGTAGCTGCTACAATCATGATTTTAAACCTAATTTTTGCAGTGTTGAGCATTTGTGGGGGGGATTTCATGTCAGTTACTTTAAAAATGTCTGCAGGTTCACAAAAATCTCAGCAAACCTTATTTCAAGTCCACAAAACATTTTTTTTATTTTTCTGTGGGCCAAACATTTTACGGAAAGTGTTCGGTTTGAGCTGGGTCTGAAAAGGTTGGGAATACGTCTGATAAAAGAGTTAATTAAATTTCGGAAAGCCGTTGGTTTTCCAATGATACTGTTTCATCATCTGTTTGACGCGTATGTTTCCTTTCATGAATTGTCTTACACTGCTGGGTCAAAAATTACTTGAATGCAAACCCATTGTCACCTACAGCTAAGAAAAGAAAAAAAATGTCGCTTGATGGCGACAGAAACTTGGACAGATTCTTAGTTTGGTAGTGTGTTCGATAAGGCCGACAGGTAGTGTCATCTCAACTATTCAGAGTATTAAGGTATTATCGAAGGTTCTTCGAAGATGTCGCACCTGTACAAGCCTGCAACGAAGGAGCAATCCTACATTTTCGTCATATATGTATAAGAACGAGTAGATATCTTGGAAAAATTCTTTCTACGAAGAAATGAATATGTATCTAATGTATGAAGTCAGAAACCTTCGTTGCGTAATAATGTCTGACATTTGGTTCCACAGAATGTTTTGGAGGATTTCAGGCTGGGTATCCAAAACGTCACTGAAGCACTATACCGCGTTCATTTTAGTGAGGAATTCCGTTTTCACGCTGAATTTCCACATCTACATACGGATGAATACTGGTGTCACACTCAATGTGTTAGAAAACATTATGCTTAGATCGTAACACGCGCGGTAATGAAATTAGGTCTGAAAAGTTTGAGAATTCTGTGTATAGAATGCCCTCGACTTTGAAGTACTGTACATTATGGAATGCATATCAATAAGTGAAGATATTAAACCGCCATCGAAGCTGTTATATTGGGTTTTTTCTCATTCTTTATGATTCAGTCGGCTGTAACCAATCCTTTTCCTCGTTTTTGGGTGGAAGCATTCCTTCAACTTTTTTGCTGGACACCTCTTGCCTGCAGCACACGAGCTGACCGGGAGAAAAAAATGTTTTTCAGAGCCTTCAAACTCAGGACACAACAATGTGTATGAGCCGCGGATTCTGAAGTCACTTTCCATCATCATTGCCAGCTGAAGTCCGCAGACGCTCTTCCAACAATGTTGGAGCTAAAAAAAAAAAACTCGGCTTGATATTCGCTATACACAGTCCTCTGAATGGCGGCCGCACGCTCTTTGTTTGCCAATTCGCCAAAGAGTCAAATACCGAATCGCCGTGAGAATGAAAATATAGAGAGAAATGATTGACAGACCCGCCGTGGTGAGTATATTGGCTCCGCTCCGGTTTGCTCACATCGACAGATTTAGTTTACGGAGACCACCGAAACTTTCACAATCCAAACTCAACGTCAGCTGTGCGTCTTTTATTGTTCCGTCGTTTCAATTTGGCATTCCGCTGATCCTTGAATTTATGAACTGCTGTAATATACAGTATATTCTTCGCTGCGCGGACGTAAATTCAGCTACGCTTAAATATAAACTTGCATTCTTGACATTCCATGTATATGGTACTTACTGGAGTACCACACACAGTATTTTTCTGAAAATGGTGAGGAAAAAGGGGGTGCGCGCAGCTTATTGGAATATATATACATAAAATAATGTTTTAGCAGTTCAGGTGTGCGTTATTATACTCCAGTATTCTGTCTAATGGGGCCTCTTTGACCAATTTCAACAACAAAATTATTGTAAATGAAGCCATTGCAAATTGGTTGAATTAAGGATCAATTCACACCATAAGTCAAATTTTGGGCTTCTTATTTTAAATTACCTGTATTGTAATTTGATAGTCACTAAAAATGGGTTGGTGCTTCTTACTCCACAGCGCGGACCCCTGCATGCAAAAATGCCAGTAGTTTCCTCAGGGCCGGCGCTGGGGTGGGAGGCGCCTTTGTGCAAGAACAAATTTGGCGCCCTTAGTAAAAAAGACTAAACACCCTGTATAGTGTATACCATGCAGATGAGCAGGCAAAAAATTGAGTATACTGTACTGAGATTACAGGCAACAATGAGTTTGTGAGAAAAATATTTTATTACAAGGTTCCTATGAAAAATCTGCTCAAAACCAGAAAAATTGCTATTATGGAAAAAGGCTTTAAAAATTTTTCTAACAAGATTTTTTTCTGTCTTTTCTATTCAAAAATGGACCTTCAAAGTTTGTTGGATTGTTGCAGCAATGATTTTGGTTATTTAATTATTTTTGCAGCAATGATTTGGGTTATTTCTCTAATACATTTTCAGTTTTAAAAAATTGTCAATTTTTTTTGCAATTTGCAGAATGTTTGTTTTCATGTGATAATATTCATTATTCTGAGGACCAATTCACTTTCTCCAAAAAAACAAAAAAGGATCTTTGGCTGAACAAGTGTGTATCATGACTGCTTAAATTGATTTACTTTAGTGTCACCCAGAATAGTTTTTGTGCTTGTCATCATTTTTTGGCAATGAAATAACAAGCATAAGCTAGTATTTAGTGAACTCAAGCTGTGTCACGGTGGACATTAAAGTACAGTACAGGTTGTCATCGATAACTTTATTGCGTTCCCTTTTTCATCCCCTTTCACCTAGCAGACTACGCTCCGAATAAAGTCACGTCGTCTGTCTCA